TGTATATATCGCTAAGTTGTTTAATCACTTTCTTATTTCATTATTTTGTTATAAGTCTATTTTGTAGACCTTATTCACTTTTGCTTATCATTCATTTTGTTTTTCTTTCAGTTTCTCTCATTTCTGATTTCTTCTTTGTCATTGTTCATCTTCTTCAGTATTTTCCTTTTATCTTTCCTTTGAACATTAATTCTGTCCCTCTCACCACGATATTCCCCTCTTCCCTCTCTTCTCCTACTCCCTCCTCCCCCCTCTCCTCTCCCCCCTCTCCTCTCCTCTTCCACCAAACTCTATTGCCACTCATCTCTCCCTATCCCTCTCCTCCATCCCACTCCAAAACTCTCCCTCCGTGCCATCATTTACGTCGGGAATTTCCCCTGCCACATTCCACCCTTACAATGGCTACTACCGAGAGAGCCTGGAAAATCCTCGGCGGGGAAAAATCCCTTCATCACATAATGGCGTTGGTGCATCAAAGTTATTTCCTAATTACAAACTTATAGACCATTTTTCCCCTCTTCTCCCTTCTTCTTATTTCCCAGACGATTTAAAAAAGATATTCAGAAAAAAAATCCCTAGTCGACTTATAAAAGATACTCATATTCCCTATACGATTCGTAAACTGAGGAATATTCCCCTCTTTCCCCTTTCCTCCCCCCTACAAAAAAAATCTTCTTATTTCATTAATGATTCGTAACTTATGTTTTAATAAAATATGGATTAATTTAATAGTTTCCATGTTATTTTTTTCTTCATTTTTCCCGGGTTGTATTGGCGAGTCTGTGGCCATTAATGATGTTGAAATTTTAAGAGGAGGAACCGGGAGTTTGTGGATGAGTGAATGAATACGGTATATTTTCTTTAATAACTCTCTCTCTCTCTCTCTCTCTCTCTCTCTCTCGTGTGGGATAATGGGGGAGGAATCTGTCTGTGATGGAGACAGAAAATTAGCGAACACTTTAATTACTCCTCCAGTAGTTTGTCACACCTGACTGTCTGACTGACTACCTGTTTGTCTTGTCTTGTTTAATTATCTCTCTCTCTCTCTCTCTCTCTCTCTCTCTCCTCTTTATTTTTGACTGAGTGTGAACGACAAGCCTCTCCTTATGGCGGGGATATACGTTCCCAGGCCACTCTCCACCCCTCTCACCCCATCCCTCACTCTCTCCCCTCGCTCCCCCTTCACTACCCTCCCCTCGGCCCCCACATACTCCCCTCACCGTCCACCTCTCGGCCCTCTCATTCTCCCCTCACCATCCAAATCTCACCTTCTCTCCTCACCACCAACCCCTCATTCCTTCCCCTCGTGGTTTAATATGTTCGTATTCTCGTTTGTCCGTACTTACATTCATGCCTGTACACCTAAAGTTTGTGCAATATTGAACTGGCAGCGTTCCAATGGTTAGGTTAGGTTAGGTTAGGTTAGGTTAGGTTAGGTTAGGTTAGGTTAGGTTAGGTTAGGTTAGGTTAGGTTAGGTTAGATCAGGTCAGGTCAGGTCAGGTCAGGTCAGGTCAGGTCAGGTCAGGTCTTGTCTTGTCTTGTCTTGTTATTATTTTTTCCGGTATTATAATGTAATTCTCACCGTATTCAAAATGCTCGATTTAGCCCGTCCGTCCGTCCGTCCGTTTGGTTGTCTGTACCGGAATCATTAGCGAAATTAGACAGAATTACCGGATTAATTTTTTTTTCGCAACACCATACACACGAACTGATTAAATTTCCAGGGGTCGAGTAATTTTTTTTTCTGCTTTTGTCATCTTTTTCACCTTTTTTGTATTGCATGTGAAAGCTTGTTAGCGTGATTAAAAAAAGAGTTTGAGAATGTGTAAAAAAAAATAATTTCAGTCTATTTTGGGAGGAATTATTTATTTTTTTGTTCCTTTGTTTATTTTTTTAGCTATTTATTTATTTTGTTATTCAATTATTTTACACCAGGAAGCTTTTATAACCATTAACATAGTAAATAACGGATCTATTCCCCTTTCTTTACAATGCTCACACAACCAGACTACAAAATATCATGTTACTCGAGAGAAGGAATTTCATACACGCTTAATTTTATGCGGCCTTACCGATGAAAAAAAATTATATTACCGAAACGAGATAAGACTTGTATTTTCCACCTGTAGTGTATATTAAGTATCACAACATACGTATAGCTGTTCACTCCATACCTGTAATGTTGCTGAATATACCTGTTTAAAAGCCTCTAACCAAACCTAACCTAACCTAACCAAACCAAACCTAACCTAACCAAACCTAACCTAACCTAGCCTAACCTAATCAATAAAGATGTAAAGTTTATAAGACATTCACGACTCGACGACAACCGTAGCTCTGGGTGGAGTGTTACCGCTGTGTACTGATAAACATCTATTTGGTCGTGACTTTCCTACAGCGACCATCAGCCACTTTGTTCAGAGCTGGCGAGACCCGTCCCTAGTGTGCTTAAGGGGGACACTCACTGCGGTCGTATGTGTTTGTATGTTTTGTCGTGTTTTTCGTTGTGTTTTTCCTTTCTTCTTTTTTTGTTAACTCAGTATATCGGTCTCTCACACTTGTTAGTTTGTTTTCGTTATTCTTTTATTTATTCATTTATTCACTTATCGTAGGTTTATTTTACGTTATGGAAGTTTCCTGTTACACTTTCATTATTTAGTTACCAAAATGTCTTCCTTTGAGTTGCTCCTCGACGCTGCTCCTCGACGCTGCTCCTCCAATTACATAGAAGTAACATTCAGGTTAAGAAAGAAAATATTATAAGAAATTCCTCTCTCGTAAGACCCGAAACGACCTGGAGAGCTGACGTCATTCCAGGTCCTTGAGAAGTTTTCTTCCATCCTAGAGTCATCTCGGGTCATGAAGTCATCTCGGGTCATGAAGTCATCTCGGGTCATGAAGTAATCTCAGATCATTGCCAGGTCTACCCATAGTGAAATGACCTATAAAACCCACGTTAATCCCAAGTCTCTCTCTCTCTCGACTAGAGTACTGCATGATATCATTAGGCGGAGACAATTTTACACGAAGGAAAAAAAAACTCCTAATATTCTTGATTAAATCTTTCAGAGCTAAAAGATTATCACAAGACAGCACGAGTTCTACCTGGTTCAATGACTCACGTGTATGAAAAATGATGCTTATAATTTCCACGACTTTTTTTTTACGAATTATTCATCATAACTTCATGAATTATGGGTTACGACTTTACGAATTATTAGTTTGATTTTTTTTGGGGTAAATTATGAATTTTCTCTGGACATTTTTTTTATTACAGGTTGCATAGTTAAGCAAACACCAGGAAACACGTTTACTTCCGGGATATTATATTTCCCTTGACATGTTCAGTATATTTGTAAATAATAAATGTTTTGTAGCAACATAATACTTCCTTAAAAAATATAAAAGTATGAAGACTGAATATTTGTCCCTTCACAGTATAATATATATATATATATATATATATATATATATATATATATATATATATATATATATATATATATATATATATATAAACAACTGGATCTTTCCCCCACAGTATAATATTTCTCTTAAAAAAAATGTGTTTTATGTAAACAAGGAAGTCTTTGCTTGGCTGTACCCGAGGAAAAATCAACACTCTTGACATCTTTTTGGGTGGGGTGTGCTGGCTTCGTTAGTGAGCTTCCTCCAGCATCAAGGTAATCACATTCTTCCTCCTACCTTCTCTCTCTCCCCTTCCCACTTCGCTCCATCTCCCTCCCCCTCCCACTTCTCTCCCTCCCCTCCTGACCTGTTAGTGTTGGTGCTGCCTATCGCTTCACCTCTCCCCCCGTGCCTGTTATTCGAGAGAGAGAGAGAGAGAGAGAGAGAGAGAGAGAGAGAATGATCATGTTGGTTGTCGTTGGTGGTGCATGATGAGGGTGACTGATGAGAAGAAATGAGAGTGAGTGTTGGAGGAAGACGGTGAGAGATGGCTGACACGAGTGGTGGTGGTGAATGATGACGATGACTGACACTGTTGGTAGTGAATGAAGAGGTTGACTGACATTGGTGGTGGTGGTGAATGATGACGATGACTGACTCTTGTATTAGTGGATGACTACTGTGGTTGGCTATTAAAGGTAAATACACCATCAGTAACTCTAGGATCCTGAGAATATACCATATGCCTCTTCCATCCTGTACCTTAACCCACCCGCTTCATGTGTTATTATTTAACTCGTTTTTATTTCCTTTTCGTCCTTAATTCAGACTTTGATGTTGATAAAGGTTAAAGGATTAATTCATCGAACTGTTGTTACTTAAATTTGGGTGGCTGTTACCGTAGAGTTTCACACACACACATTATTCTTCGGGACGATGTGAGTGTTCGGTGGCTTGTGAAGAACTATTGTCTACCCCGGTAACGTGTTGTAAGGTAAGAGAAGAGTCTTTTGTCTCCTACATTAGGTGAATGGAGCGAGATGAAACCTTGTCTCCATAGAGTGGATGAGGTGAAAAATTTTTATGTATCCTCTTAGGGCAGATGGGTTGGAGATGGCTTTTTATAGCTCTCTGTAGGATCGTTGAGGAACACGAATTCTTGGTTCGCCTCGAGAAGAAGAGGAGATGGTTTCGTGTGTTTCTATAAGAGGTTGAGGCAAAACCATTAACCTTAAAACACGAAACATATTTGTATAATTCCACAAGATGCTGAAACGAATTTTTAATTGTACACAACATTGACGATTATTCGACTCCTTGAGAAAATAAATCCGACTGAAAAAGACGCAGAGCATTCAGTTAGTATAATCCAACCTTGCTGGTTAAGTGTACTCCTGCTTGCCATTAGTATACATTAAAAAAATATAATTTAACGAAGTGGCTAGTCATAATGTACCTCTTTACAGATTATTTTGAAGAATCTACCTTGCCAGGGACACTTGACATTTGTGAACAGAAGAGGTACATTTCACCAAGAAAGTGAATGGTGGAGTTCATTCTTTTTAGCCAGTCTTAATGAAACTGGCCATGAATGCAATCGGTTGTGGGAGTTTTAATAAAGTTTTACCTCCCCGCCCTCCTCTCCCGTCGTCTCTCACTCGAGCCTTCAGGACCCAGGAGTCTGTGGCAGCCATGCGTCTCCAGGTCCACCCCCCCGCCCGAGTCTTCAGCCATCTCCCCACCCCCGAGTTTTCAGGAGCCTTATGATTCTAAGATCTCCAAGCCTTCAAGAACTCCCAAGCCTTTAAGAACTCCCAAGCCTTTAAGAACTCCCAGAGTCTTTATTAGCACAGAGCCTTCCAGAACCTCCAAGCCTCCAAGAACACCCCAAGCCTTCAAGAACACCCCAAGCTTCAAGAACACCCCAAGCCTTCAAGAACAGCCCCTTCAAGAACAGCCCAAGCCTTTCCAAGGAACCTCCAAGCCTTCAAGAACCCCAAGCCTTCAAGAACAAAAAGAACCTTCCAGAGCCTTCAAGAACCCCCAACAAGAACCCCCAAGCCTTCAAGAACACCCCCTTCAAGAACATCCCAAGTTTTCAAGAACACCCCAAGCCTTCAAGAGCACCCCAAGCCTTCAAGAGCATAAGCCCAAGAACAAGCCTTCAAGAACACCCCTAAGCCTTCTAAGTGCAAGCCTTCAAGACACCCCGAGCCAAGAACACCCCAAGCTTTCAAGAACCCCCAAGCCTTCAAGAACACCCCAAGCTTTCAAGAAAGAACACCCCCAAGTTTCAAGAACACCCCAAGCTTTCAAGAACCCCCAAGCCTTCAAGAACACCCCAAGCCTTCAAGAACACGAGAACTCTTCAAGAATTCAAGAACACCCCCAAGCCTTCAAGAACTCCCAAGCCTTCGAGAAGCTGCTTCAAGAACAAAGCCTTCAAGAACTCCCAAGTCAAGAACACCCCAAGCCTTCAAGAACACCCAAAGCCTTCGAGAACTCCCCAAGCCTTCAAGAACACCTCAAGCCTTCAAGAACTCCCCAAGCCTTCAAGAACTCTCCAAGCCTTCGAGAACCCCCAAGCCTTCGAGAACCCCCAAGCCTTCAAGAATGCCCCAAGCCTCCAAGAACACCCTAAGCCTTCAAGAAATCCCCAAGCCTCCAAGAACACCCTAAGCCTTCAAGAACACCCCAAGCCTTCAAGAACTCCCCAGGGTATTCATTAGTACAGAGACTTCAAGAGCCCCTAACCTTTCAAGAACTAAGAACCTGCAGGAACTCTGAGGTACACAGGCATAGCTGAGTAATGAGCGTCTTGTGCCCACAATATAAGGCCGCGTTGTGACTCGAGTTATTGGAACGCTGGGTCAATGTGATTTCAATTATACCTCGACTTATTTTTTCATAATTGATCCTCTCTCTCTCTCTCTCTCTCTCTCTCTCTCTCTCTGTTATAGTTCCCCGGCTGTAGTTCTTGTTATCGCTGTCTTGATCATTAATATTGTTCGTTCTTTCAATTTGGTGTTAATCATTTTTTCTTCCATATTAGGAGTATTTTTTTGTGGGGGAGGTCTCCTTTTATCGCTGTCACTCACTCACTCACTCACTCACTAAAAATGAAAACCGTATCATTATACAGACACTAAACACCCAAATGTTTTATTTTTTTTACCCAGTCAATCTCGAGTCTCAGCCCTACAGCCCAAAGTGTACACACATTAACTGACACGCCGAATGCCATTGAGCGAGTTTTATGTGTGTTTTACTGTTTTATGCTGGAGGTTTTTCTTTTCCTGTCAACCCCTCCTCCCTCTCCTCCCCCTCCCCTCCTATCCCCTCACCTCCTATCGCCTGTTCTCACCCCTCACCCCTCCCCCCTATCGCCTTTTCTCACCCTCCCACCCCTCCCTCCTATCGCCTCGTCCCACCCCTCTCCCATTCCCCTCTATCACCTCCCCTCTCTCCCCTTCCCCATCACCTACCCCCTCCCTCTCCCCCCACTGGAAAACACCCGAGCACGCTGGGTCTCGTCTGCTCATCGAAATGTCACTAGGGACGTCATTATATACTGCATGGCAACTCGGTGCGCTCCTTCTCCTCTTCTCTTTCTCTCTCTCCTTCTCTATCTCTCACTATCTCTCTCTCTCACACACACACACACACACACACACTTTCTCTCTTTCTCTCACTATCTCTTTCTCTATCTCTCACTATCTCTTTCTCTATCTCTCCCTCTCTCTCTTTCCTGACTTTCAGTATCGCTTTTAGTTGGCCTCGTGTTGACATCAGGAGGAAAAATATTGACAGCGCGAGGGAGGAAATCTTTTGGTGTTTTGTGTGTTTAGGAGTTTGGTTGTGAGTTATAAGTGCGTTTGTTTTGAGTTATAAGTGTGTTTGTTGTGAGTTATAAGTGTGTTTGTTGTGAGTTAATGCAGGAAGAATTGACCGAATATTAAATGGAAATGAATGTAAACTTTAGCCCTTTTTAGTATGAGTAGGAAGGGCATCGATGAGGTAGTGTGACAGCTGTGAGACTATACACGCAACTAACCAATTGAGGGTAGATGTGTCACTACCTACACTATCAACTCGAAAAAAAAAAAGAATAACTTGCCCCCTACCCCTCTTCCCCTACCCCTCCCCTACCCCTCTTCCCCCCCCCCCCTCTCCCCTGGCCTTGGTAATTATGCACGGGGAGAGATTACTCGTTGGTTGAAGTCAGTTCCACATTGTAATAGGTCTTCATAAACCCAGAAATGAGTAATTAATTTCGTGGAGTGAGCTGTACGTGAGCGAGTCAGTAGTAGAGGGCCGTCTGGGTGCACAGTTTGGATCAGTGTGGGAGCTGTTTCCTCGCCGCCCCGCTGATGTAAGACCTCGTGAGGGAGATGGAATTCATCTAGTAGCCTGGCCGCCTTCCTCCCGTGACTGCGTTCAGCATCTAATGACTTAATTAGTTCCTTCCATGGTAGATCCTTCAATTATCGACTCCGTGTCTGCGCTGAATATGTTCGGAAACTTGGCCTCGGCATGACTGGCTGGCCCAAGTAGCTGGGTGGAGGAGAGTTGCTGATTCTTGCTTGTGGGAAGACCGTTTAGCATTTGTTTATTTAAATTTTCTCGAAATTCGTCATAAAACTGGTAATTGATGTAAGTGATGGAACATAAGACCAGTTCTATAAAAGTAGAAGAAGTAAATGGTGTAGCAGAGGTCGGATTTTGAAATTACTTGTGGATGATTTTTGTTCCATTTCCTCCGAGTAAGTTTTGTTTTAGAACTTTGATGTGATTATTGTTTATATGGAAATCACAATTTGTAGTTTACGTGATTAAAAGAGCCGGTAAGATGGAGGGGACCAAGAGCTAGGTGGAAGTTGAGATGGAAGGACGTGAGAGAGAGAGAGAGGCAGCAGCAGCAGCTTGGGGCTGAGTGTGGAGGTGGCTGGGGACAAGAGGAGCCTTGCAGCGACGGATTCGAGGACCTGACCTGAACCTGACCTTTAAGAGAGGGAAAGGTTAAGGAAAGATGATTGTAACAGATAAATTGTTAGCTAATATGTATTCATTGGTCACTTTTCGTATATATGTGGGAATTAGTTGAGATTATTTTAGAAATGTTAATTGTTTATTCAGTTCTATAGCGACTTAAGAGGCAACAATATAGAATTGAGATTTAGTGGGAATCAGAAATATAAAGCCGAGATTTATCAGGTTTTCTACTAAGAGTGATGTCTCACTGCCCATCAACCTGGGTATAATGCTAAGCACTCCACTTTACTCACAATATTAACGTTGATAAAATAAAGAAAGAAATTTAATCATATTTCTTGGGAGTAATTTTTTTGTAGACAATATAAGTGATTTTACGAAGTATATATTTTACGAAGTGTATATAATTGTGTGTGTGTGTAATGTTATAGTTCTGGACGAAGAGGAGAATATTATGCATTTATGAATTTAGAATTGTCAGTTTTCACCCCATACTAAAAGTTCACGATGACACGGTAATAATAGACAAATAATGTGTAGTTACACCAACATGGCGCAGTTCACACTCTTGTCTTATTGCAAATATCGATGTATTTTTTCTCTCTCAAAAGATAGCATCGTTTTATGTGTGTTTTCCGTGTACATTAATACACAGTAGTGCCTGTATTAATAGTAATCTAAGTAATGGCAACACTTCCATTCATTAAGCTTGCCCTGCAATGAACTCGGCCCTGCAGTGGCATAACAATTTGTGTAATATAACTATACTGAAACAAATGAGTTTTTATTCGGAAATGATTGCATAGTTATTTTGTTCTTTTTCATGAATATAAATTATGTTATTAAAAATATGGCAAATCAATGTTATAATAAAAACAGATTGCAGACATCAAAGGCCCATACCATACAAACAATATGTATTGAAATAGAGAATTAGTTTAATTATGCAAAAAAAATATTATCGACTCAGATTGTAACTCATTTTTTCCTTCCTTTGATTTCCAAGTATCGAATAATTTAAATAATATGAACAAAAAAATAACATTAAATAAAACAGAGTAATAATAGCAGCAACAGCACTGAGACTCGCACCATTGCACTGTTCCTGTGTTTCAACATCTCAGAGTTACTGCCTCCACCCCATTGTCTTGTGGCATAATAGCTGAACGCAAACTGCCAACCTTCCCCCCACATCACCAAGAAGCCCAAATTATCGCTCAAAGAACAAGGAAATAAGACTCAGTAGGAGAGGGTTTATATTATCTCTGCTGCTGCTGGTCCTCCGTCTTGAGAGTGGGTGAAGGATCCCACCGCTGCCACCATTGTTCTCATCACCCGGACTAACTTGAACTCACCACCACCACCAATATATTTCATAGCAATGCTCTATAATATTACACATTGTTACTAATACTGTATATATATATATATATATAGTTTTCCATTATGTACACATTGTTATCAGTACGTATGTATTTTGACCATTACATACTGTACACACTAGTGCCTTTGAGTACAACGCCCGTAATATACACATAGTGGGATCAGCCATTAATGTGGGGATGGAATAGATTAGCCTGGTGGGCGGTGTGTTGGGCGGCCTTACTCTTAACTTACAACCAAGGTAATAGGTGGCCTGTGTAACACGGCCCAACTTAGAGGGTAATCCACGCTCCCTGTAACGTCTTGAGTTGTAATGTCATCTGGACTAACTAGGACACAGTGGCCTTGGTTAACAAACAAACTAAGTCTCTCTCTCTCTCTCTCTCTCTCTCTCTCTCTCTCTCTCTCTCTCTCTCTCTCTCTCTCTCTCTCTTTCTCAATATCTTTGTGTGTGTCTCTCCCTCTCTTTTTTCCTTCTGTCTGCTTCTCTGTCTGTCTGTCTCTCACTCTATGTTTTAGATGGTGATAATTTTGCCTTTATGGTTCACAAGATAAACTACTGTATATTCTCACTGGAGGAAGACATGTTTAAGGTTTTATTCAGTGTGCTTCAGCCATTAGCCAGATGTCTCACTGTCATGAGGTAGCTTCAGTATACTTATAAATGTTATAAATCTACTTACGGTTTCTACTTCAACTCTACTCCAATACTTTGAATTATTTTTTATTTATCTATTTGTTAAGTGTATTTATTTGTTAAACATTCTTCTCATTCGCATTCTTTCTCTTTACTTTCTGCTCCTCCGTATACATTTCTTTCTATTTATTCATTATCCTCTTCATTCATACACAAGTTATACAGCAGTATTTGATAACGTTCCTTCATTCTTCCTTCCGAGTGTATATGTTTATTCATTAAATTCCACATCAACGCCTTCCTTCCTTCCTTCCTTCCGTCCTTCCTTTCTTCCTTCCTTCCTTAAACATTCGCTGTGTTTATTTATGCATGACTGTGAGCGCTGTCTTCCTAAATTGGTCATGTTAGCTCTTGCACTCATGCAGGAGGTGGAGAAGGAGGAGGTGGAGGAGGTTGAGAAGGAGGAGGTTGAGAAGGAGGAGGTTGAGAAGGAGGAGGAGGAGGGTGAAGCTATGAAAGAAGAAAAGGATGAGGGTAAGGAAGATGGGGATGGGGTGAGGAGAATGTTGGTGGGAGGACGAGGTGGGAGAGGGTGGGGAGGACAGGGAGGGAGGTGGGGAGGACGAGGG